TACTTTACTTTTACTTTACTTTTACTTTACTTTTACTTTACTTTTACCATTATCTTTACCTTTACCTTTACCTTTGACTTGACTTTACCTTTATTTTTCACTTTCACTGTCACTTTCACTTTACTTTGATGTTGACTTTGGTTTATAGGTTGGTTTATAGCCGACCGTGCAATGAGCCATTGATCCTTTGTAACAATCATTTTAACTAAATTGACTCTTACAGATCTCCTCTCCCAGATCTGCTGACTGAGAAGATGGGAGACCAGGGGTGGGCACCCCGATATTGCCAGTGGCTGAGCAGCAAGCAGAACACAATCGGACCCACAGCTCCGAGTTGTGACACCCTGCTGGTCCCTGAAAAGTCAAAGAAACACCGAGTTGTTATACCTTGGTCGACCCATTTTAAAGACGAGTATAAAAAAGTCAGCAACCTCTATGCGAACAACAAAATACGGACCAACAAATACCGGCTTTGGTCCTTTATACCTAGGAATCTCTTTGAGCAGTTCCACAGGTTATTCATTCGTTTCCTTATTTTATTTGAATTATAAGAAAACCCTTCATAATTCTGCTAGACACAAAGACAGTTTTATTCCTCTGCAAAACAGCCAATTCGCACAACGCTCTCTTATGTCCCAGGATGTCAAGGCATGTAGTAGGACTGTATTACTATTACCCTTTCCATCCTTCCTATTACCTATTCCTTTGGCATCTTCTGACTACCAGTTGGTTGGTTGTATCATTGGTTGTGATTTATGATGATTGTATATTGTGATCGTGATTTTATCACTTGTTGCTTGTATGTACACTGAGAGCTTCTGCACCGGAGACAAATTCCTTGTGTGTCCAATCACACTGGGCCAATAAAGAATTTTATTCATTTCCATTTCATTCCCCATGTTCCATATTCCATATTCCATCATACATCTTCCATCTTCTCTTCTACTCTACTCTACTCTACTCTGTATTTTATTCTGCACTCCTATTCTATTCTATTCTATTCTATTTCTATTCTATTGTTTATATTCTATTCCTATCCTTATCCTTGTCCATGTCGCTATCCCTATCGCTATCCCTATCGCTATCCCTATCCTTATCCCTATTCTATTCTATTCTATTCTATTCTATTCTATTCTATTCTATTCT